GTCGACCCAGCGGTATCGGCCTGTTTATTTTTTTTATTTGTTTTGTTTTGCTTTTTGCATCATGTTGCATGTCTGTACTTTTATGTGTTTTTCTTGTTTTTTTCTGTGGTTTATCTGAGATTTCACGATGAAATATAGGCTCTTTAGGACTTAAATTCCTAATGTTCTATAAAATCCTAAATAAAAGATTCAAGATAATTAAAATGTAGGATTAAAATATTCAGAATTTAAAAATTACGATATTACTTTTCTGCATATATTAATAGCGCCTACACAATATTTATGACCGTTTTAGATAACTGCATTCATATTTGCATATCCCGAGGAGTCCCCGTACTTATCCAACTCCCCGTACTTCTCCAACTTGACTAGCCCAACATACCTTCATATAGGTGGTTATGTAGTGCGCCTAGGGTGTTAGAAGACTCCCTGACTCAGACAGGGCATAAGTCCTTTTTTTTAAAGTATTTCCAGCTTTGTAGCTGAACCTCCACTTTCTCTTCTTTCCTGAGACATCTTCGCCACTTCGGCAGGGATAAGTCCCACCTCTTGGAGCTCCAGCTTTTAGTCATAGGATAGAGTTTCGTTACTTTGAACTTAGGGCTACTGAGGTTTCCGTGGACGACGCAATTCATGGATTGCTGACCGGCAATCTCAGGACGTGTTGAGTCGACTACCTTCACGATCAGGTAGACTTAGGGTCCTGGTAGCTGTGGATGACGAGTCCGTGGTACCCCTACCTCTACCTTATAGGATCACTCTATCTTTCTTTTGTTGAGCCTCTTTGAGCCCTATCGCTCCTTTAAATTCGTCGATGTCATTTTGATGGTCTGATGCCGATTGAATTCGTCGATGTCATTTTGATGGTCTGATGCCGATAAGCTGCCTCCCATTTGGGATACAGCGATTTCTCCTCTGCTCTTATGGCTCAGACGTGCTTTGATGTGTTGGGTTGTCCCCATCAATATGATTTACGTTATTTCGTAGCCTCCGTGTGCCGATGAGCCCGCTACCCATTCGGGATGTGAGAGACTCACTCTTTGCCCGATGACTTAGCGTGAGCTTTGAAGCATCGGGACTGTTCCCACACGGAATAACATTCCTTTGATTACCTATACCCCAGGTTTATGATAATATGAAGCGAAACTCCTTTTATCGAGAGTATTTTTGGGTATCCCCCAAGATGTAATTAACCAGTAGGAACAAGTTCTTCTGGGAGTGCTCTTGACCCCAGAACAGATACATACATCTGACTCTTTGGTTATGAGTAGTCTACGCAGATATTTCTTTCGCGGATATTGGTTTAAAATGCCTTCGTCTGACTCTTTGGTTATGGGTAGTCTACGCAGATATTTCTTTCGCGGATATTGGTTTAAAATGCCTTCGCTCGATCTTGTTTGGACGGGCATTCTTGACCTATTCTTGCATGTAGACTCTCTACGTTTTATTTTTTCTCTTGTTTGTTTCTTTATCGTATGTCCTTTCTTATTCGGTTCATCACCTCTTCGAATCATTGATATGATTCAGGAGGGTGATTTATTCGAATAAGGGAAGTATACGACGATTGACAAGTTGGCGACTCTTTTTAAAATAAAATAAAGAAAAATGAATGGAAACAATTTTAATTTAATATCTTAGTTTTAGGTATTAAAATTTTAATATTACCTAAATCTTAATATATGAATCTCAATCCCAGTGCGGTGTACTACCACGTGAGACGGTCTTCATAGTTTTTTTTTTTTTCAAAATCTCATTGAGGTGCGCTTTGAATTATTCAATTTTAAACATCTACCCTTTCCATGACTTTGGCGAATCTCTCAAATTGTTCTTTTGTGGATTTTTTTGAGTTCATATATGGTATTATATAGCATTCATCATGGTTGGTGTCGAATCCATGATAAAAGCTTAGTGGAGTTTCCAATTATGCTGCTTCTTTTAGTCCACCAAATGTTGTAGGATCTAGTTAAAGTTGGTTTCCAAGAATAGTAGTATTATTCGGGCTTCTTGACTAAGTGCAAATGTTTCTACATAATTAATTTTATGAGTCTAATTGTGGTCTTTTGTAACAAGTCTACATTCTAGTTTTTTGGTATGCCATTTGCATAACCATTGCATTTGACAATGCATATTAACTCGCATTCAGTTAGTTTTTTTAATTTTGGCAAAATTATCACCTCCCAAGTTTTTTTTTTTTTTTTTTTTTTGGCTCAGTTTTTTTTTTTTTTTTTTTGTGTGGCTCTCACTATTTCATCATGATTTTTTCCATTTTTTTCTCTAGGGGTGTCAAAAATTGACCTGAAATGCTAATTAGGCCCGAATTCGGCTCAAAAAGTATGAGTTCGTTAATTCTCTAATCTATTAGGGATCCTAGCTCATTTTTTTTTTTTGTTTGGGTTTGGGGCGACCATTAGCCCGAAATTGACTTGAAATTAACATTTGAACCTGAGATTGGCCCGATAGCAAGCCAAATTTGACTAGAAATTAACCAGAATCGCGTTATGTCTTAGTTTAAACGGGTTATATGGATTGGGTTCGTGTCAACGTATTGAAGGCTCTTTGGGTTCAGGTTGGCCTTTGTAATCTGTTTAATGTTTGGGTCGGGTTCGGATCAAGTAGTTTTAGGTTAGGTCAATTTCGGGTCAGCCTTGAACCTACTATACGAACCCGAATTGACGCCTCTACAGTTGTTTCTTGGAAATTCTTAAAATCTTGATATTATTTATCTCATCGAAGATGCTTTGTGGGATGCGGTAAGATTATTGAGTGAATGAAGTTGGCTTATGGGTGCATTTTCATGTTTCCTTTCTAAAAACAATAGAAAGACATACATCATGATAATTTTGACTCGAAGGGATAGAGACTATACCTTGGTTACATGGTGGTTGATCTCATGCAGATTAGGATTGTTGAGCATGTTTCAATTAATAGTTCAACTCTTTTTTCCTCCTTTTTTTTAACTCTTATATCCTCCTTGAGCATACTTGCAGTAGTGGTTTAGGGTTGAAGTTGGTGAGATTGAAGCTATGTAAAGAGGAGGGATAAACAAAGCTAAGAGTTTGGAGATCCAAATTTAGAAAATCAAAAAAATGTTTTCTTTCCAACGCTATACCTAAAACTTACTTTGGTCATAGAATTCTTTATTTCTAGCAAGTATCACACCTTGAGATCTCAAGATATGAAGATTTTTGGAGAACCTGGTAGGTAACAGTTATATTCCTTTTTAATTGAGGAATATTCAAAGAAGATGCATTCTACGGCCTTTGGTTCTAGTTTCATATTTTGATGATTTTAATGAAAATCACCTTGGGCAATTTTCTCAAAGGTTCCAATAGACGTTTTTATGAAAATGAACATGATTTTAATGGAGATATGAGTGTTTAATGTGGGGAAGAAATTCTTTGAGGTTTCAATAGACGTTTTTTTGGTAAAATTCTAATGGGAAGATAGTTTCTTAGAAGGTGGTTGTCAAGGCAACTTCTCCTAATAAAACCAATTTCTGGAACAATGATCATAGCTTTTACTGCTTTTTCTTAGGATTTCCTCAATATTTGTTGCTGGCACTGTTATAGCTGCTTTGTTTCAATTCCTCATTTTGCATGGTACGGGGAAACTGCTTTTAGTCTGGTTTACAAAAAAAAAAAAAAAAAATTTATATGAGAAATAAAACACTAATTCATGTTTTAAGTGAACTTAATGGTTGTGTTGTATGGGCAGGAAACACCGTAAATTACTTGGTGCTGATCTAGAGGTTAAAGTAAAATGCCTCTTTAAGAAAGTTTAAGCTTGGAAATTTTTTGCTCTATGAAATAAAGAAGAATAGCAGGTGAAGAGAGCTTTAGAAGTGGCTATAAAGCACAGATACAAAAGATATTCTTTCTGAAAAAATTCAATTCGGAATTATTATATTCTTTCTGAAGAGATTCAATTTGGAATTACTATTTTCATGGCCAAAATTAGAATAATCTCGGAAGTTTTCTTTACTCTTGTCTATTTCAACAAATACTTTGATACATCTTGACTTTTTAACAGCTTTGAGGAGAAATATAATGGTTTTGAGCTTTAGAAGGAGCTATAAAGCATAGATACAAAAGATATTCTTTCTGAAAAAATTCAATTCGGAATTATTATATTCTTCTGAAGAGATTCAATTTGGAATTACTATTTCCATGGCCAAAATTAGAATAAGCTCAGAAGTTTTCTCTACTCTTGTCTATTTCAACAAATAATTTGATACATCTTGACTTTTTAACAGCTTTGAGGAGAACTATAATGGTTTGAGTTTTGTATCTTGCATTTTTAAAGAATTAAGAAGTTTGCATGTTGATTATTATAAATATGACCAAAATTAAAACAAAAAACCTTCGTGTAACTTGGGTTTGAAAATTTTTTGGAAGCCAAAAAAGACTAGTTTTAAACTGTTTATAAGCATTATCACGTTGGAAATGGAACATTCTCCGATTTTTTACTCAATACAGACTTTGACACCATATAAATGACTTTTGGGCCAGAACTGGTATTTTTTACTGGGACAAACTGTTCAATTCTTATAACTTATCTTTAAATCACATTTGGTTGTTGAGATATGCTTTCTTAAAATTAAGTTATTTAAAATTTAGGTATTAGGTAATTATTCAATTGGTTAATGGCTTGTTCAATTCTTTTAAAGCTTGGAAATACAAATCCTGAAAAAAAATGTAAAAAAAAAACCCAGCAAGAAAAACAACCCCTTTCAAAAGTTTGAAACGGAAAGCAATGCCTTAATTCTTGGTTCTGTGTTGTGGTTACATTAGTCAACAAGTTCACACGCCATCCTAAACCAGAATAACTCTGCTGAATCAGCAATTTATTGCAAATAAAGTGAATGCAAAATTAAATCAATGAAAGTCCAAGTTGTTTCGTCTTCTATTTATGCTTCCATTTATGGTGAACAACATTTGAACGCATGGCCTTTGCCTTATTATTTCAACAACTGTCTTTCTTATATGTTTATTTTTTGGTAGGTTGCAAAAGAACTTCACATCTGGTGACATGCCATAAACTCTCACATACAAGCAGAAAGCTTCTGTCTTCAAAATCAGATGGTACTTAATTTTCTAAATTCGTGATGTTTAGTTTCAGTGGTATCCATGGCGATATTGTATGTCTAATGTGAGAAGGCAATTTGATCACCATGCTTGTATGACTTATAGAAGTTAGGGGCATTACTGACATTCTATAGTATTCTTATATATTTTTGTCTCTAACACCTAAACTTTCTTATTTACATACATGCCACTTAAATTTTAACATCGAAGTATGATAAATGTAAATAACAGACTTTAGGTGTTAGAGGTAAATATATAAGAATTGTGTGTTATGTATGTAAATTTTTCTAGAAGTTATTCTGCAGTACTTGTTTTGCACTTGATGCCTTGATAGGCTAAACTGTTTCAAGTGTTCAATTTTCAGTAATTCAGAGTCTTAAGATTTGGTAGAAACATTTAATTCCTGGCAAGAACTACCACACAACTGTTGTTATAGTATAGTGAGGGTAATAGATATTTCATTTGATATCCTTCCAAGAAATCTATTTTAGTGCACATGAACTTTTTTTTTTCTCTTTACTATTCCCATTAATTATTAAATTATTGCTCAAGGTGAAAAGTTCATATGAAAAAGAATTGTTCTTTTATAAGTTCCATGATAAAAATATATTCTGTGTTTTTTTACGAGAAAGACAACTGTGAAACCTGAAACATAGGAACCTGATTGGTTAATTTATTTATTTGATCATCATAACGCACATTCCAGACCTTAAGAAAACTCCTATCTTTGTGTCTCCTCAAATTCATAGATAAAAATTATTTGTTGAATGTCCAAAATTCTCATGTGTTCATGCAATTAATAAAAGATGTTTTTCTTAATTAAAAATTGGTCTTTTCCAAATCTAAAACCTCTTATTCCTTTGTTAGAAAATGATTGGAATATTAAACTAAATGTAGATGAGCTTCAATTGATTTGATGGATTTTGATTGCATTTTTGTTGGAATTTGCAGCTCCAACGGTACAAATTTCCAAGGTTACCAAAAGAGTTGCTCATCTCTACGCTTTGTATCCATCAGAAGTTGTGTCATTGTTGCTTGAAATGTTCCTCTCACAAGCATCCAATATATCGGCTGCCGTTGACATGGAATGCTCTGATGGTTCCGACCCCTGTAATTCAAATCCAGTTGGTTTCTCTTCAACTAATTTAAAAGTGGTAATAACTAAACTCTCCAATCGGAAACCTCGGTTTTTACTTAGCATGCTGAAGATGATCCTCGAGATGATTGAAGAAAAGGGTTCCAGAAACTTTGAAATTGGTAATATTTTTTAATTTATGCCATTTCTTTTATTAATTTAATCAAAATTAAATTTGTTATTCTTGCTAAACCATTTAATAGTCTTTCAAACTGTATTTAATTTCTCTTAATGTCTATACATATTACTCTCATAACAATATCGTACAACTTAGATTATTTAAGTGGTTGTTTGGTTGCAAGTATTAAGAATGTGAGGTTTTCATGTGTTTTATTATTATGTTTTTTTTGCGTTTGGAGTGGAAAGGTAATTGCAAAGCAAAATTTCAAGGAGTTTTAAAGTAGCTCGAAAGGCGTATTTTTCCTGAAGAAAAAACATCCAAATTGGACAATTTTGTTTACTTAGTTTCTGGAATTGCCCTCTCCCTGTTGCCCCTTCAGTCCCTTGCCTCCTTCTTTTGGTGCTGTATTTCATGTCTCCTTGCTGTGTCATTCATCGTGTTGCCTCACAGCCTCCCGCCTTCTCTCAATCTTCCATGAAATTGTCAATTGCTATTTTTATTTGCTCGCTGCTTTTCCCTTGTATAAAAAATGATGTTAATTTATGAGAATTAAATGAAAATATAACACTCAATAGGACGCAATGGAGAAAAATTATTCATGTGCTGACCCCACTTAGTGGAAAAAAGGCTTGCTATTGTTGTTGCTGCCTTTCCCTGCAGCCTCCTATTCCTCGTTGACCCCACTTAGTGGAAAAAAGGCTTGCTATTTATGTTGCTGCCTTTCCCTGCAGCCTCCTATTCCTCGTCGTCGCGCCTTCTCCCACAGATTCCTTTTGTCGCATATGTTTAGTGTGGAATATGGTTTCAATTTGAGGTATATAAATGACTTACTTTGCTTCACAGGGATAAATCTCTTGTATGTCTGAAGTGAACCATCTAAGTCGAATAAAAGAAATAAGAACAGATGGATAAGATTTTGTGATTAATGATGGTTTTAGTAATCTTTAGTTCAGATTTATAAGCATGTTATGCAAAAACTGTAATAGTATAAATAGAGATTTGTTCTATATAAGAGCTTTTATGGACTGAAGGTACTATTGAGATCTGATGGCAAGCATTATTTTAGCATGTCAGATATAATCTCACCCTTAGACTGCCTGCTTTTGATTTTTTTCTTTCTCACTTTTGACAATCTTGCTATTATATCAATAAGAAGAAGAAGAAGAAACTATTCTTGTATTTACTTTATAAGCAACTAAACAAATCTGAGCAATTAGATTACATTGCATTTGCATTATTTTATATTTTCAAAATGCATGAACCTATGGTTCTTGGAGCTTAACAAACCTTAAGCAAATAAAATAAATCCCTAAATGGTCCCCTGATTACTCATTCCGACATATTATTCTCAAAGTTTTGAAGTTGTCCAATTTATTCCTTTGGTTATCAAAAATTGAACTCAATTGATCCATTGTGTTGAAATCTTGAAGTAAAAATGCTTCTAATTTAGTCCCTTGGTTATACAGATTTAATCTCAATTTAGTCTCTGAATGTCCATTTATGATCAACATTTAAAAGCCAGGGGACTAAATTGGATTAATGCAAAACTCTGGGACTAAATTGGTCTCACTCAAATATTAAGGATACCATTTTGGGGTTTACTTGCTTAAGCAACTGGATATGTAACTTGTATTCTCTTCTCTGATATTTCTAATCATGTTTCACCTTTGAGATCTATCTTTAAATAAATGATGGGCTAGCTATGAATATCATTCTCTTTCTTTCTTGTTGCTTGCTTTCTGTAGAATAATTTAAAGCACATTTCAGGGCCTTTGCTTATTTACTTGTTTACATTTGCAGATTCAAACCTCTTTCTTTCCTCACAAAACCAGTTCGAGATAAACCAAGCTTCTGATCTTCGTTCACTGCTTCCCTTTCTTATAAGAAATCTTAAAGCATTGAAGGAGTCTAGGAAAATAGGGTTCATTGAAGAAAATCAAATTCTTTCTACACACAATATCACTACACCAAATATTCACCTCTCAAACCTTCTCCATAAATTCCTCGCTTTGTTGGATCCGAGTGACAAGCATCTATTGAAGTCAGTTCTACTTCTTTCTGAGATGAGCGGAAACAGATTTCTGACCGAGAAACTCAAGAAACTCTTTATGTCAGCATCTTTGGACCAAGACCTGGATTCCTTCGCCACTTTAGGCTGTAATGAGAGCTTCCTATTAAAAGAGGAAGATTCCATAAAGAAAGCAGAAGAAAGATTGAATTATCTTAAGTCACTCCTGAACGATAAACTTAGAGATACTAGACATAGAAGCAGTAACTCTGATGCAACAACTAGGTGGACGCTCACCAAATCATGGGTAGCATGCCCCCTTGGCATGTTGCCTTGCTCATTCAGCTCTACTGCAGTTCTTTCAAGTTTTGATGTCATGGAAGTTGAAAGAGAGCCGGATAAATCTGAAACAATTATCCATGATGTTAGGAAGGGCTGTGCTGCTGATGAAAACGAAATGGTTTGTGATGATAATGAATCTCTGGATGATGTTTATTTTGTAAAAAAATTGAAACTAACAACAGAAAATGAAGGTTGGCTTGCACCAGAGAATCCTTCCTCCCCCATGAAAGGCAGGCTGTTAATTGGTGGTGTATGGAAGAAGGTAAGCGATGAAGAGTTAGTTTCTTTGGAAACGGATATCAGGACTTTCATGTAAGTGGATGTTTATTGATATAGGGCCATATTTATTTGGGGCATTTACATTCGTACCACTTGATTCTTATATATTTACATATTTAACATTTAAAGTTTATTTTTTTTACATTTATAACACCAAATATTTCATTTCACATAATACCACTATTTTAACTTTTAAAAAGTGAACTACAGCTTTTCATGCTTAGGTAAGGTGGCATATATGTAAAAATTGAAGTTGGTGTTAAATATGTAATATGCAGAAATGAGCTGGTATGTAAGTAAATCCTCATATTTTTTTATATGGTGGAAGAGAGATTTTTTATTTTTATTAAATTTTTTGGGGGGCAAACACTTTTGTTATATCTTCATGTATACGAACGTGCATTTGCAGCAATATGGAGAGCTTCAAATATATTTATTTTATATTATGCTTGTTTTTTTAAAAGAAATATAGCCTGTATATGCAGATCCTTCGATCTTAATATCTGTTGCTAAAAGGTTAGTGATATCTGTCTTCTGGGATTTCATTGAAGCATTTTCCCACAACTCCATGTATAAATAGAAGACGAATCACATTTTATCATGTTCCTGAATACTTACTTATTAATTCTTTGGTCGTCGATTTCTGTAACTTTCTCATTGAAAGCATTTTGTTGTGGTATCATGCTTTTCAATCGAAAGTTTCTTAAGTTATAACTGTCATTAATTGGTATTGGAAATGGAATTTTCGCTCTCTAATGTAGATTTTGTATTTATTACTTGTAATAGTTTTTTTAGCTTTTATATATTTAAATCATATGCAGGTCAAATATTACTTTTGTTATGATTCTTCTGCAATCATATCTTCTCTCTCTCTCTCTCTCTTTCTAAATCTAGGGCTACGTCCTAGATGCTCCTGAACAACCTTGCCTATGAGTTGATGTCATTCTGCATGCCAAACACAACTCCAAAAGTTACAAATTTCACATCTCACAAAAATCAAAATAATTGCACAACTGCTCAAGCAGTCGGTCACTTAATTCACCAAATAGGCCGACACAGCTCCGATAGACATTGTCAATGAAATTATTAGGCACGACTGGCCAATATAAGATGCCTTCTCCCACTGCTGGTTGAAAGACTTCGGCTGATAGGTGTCGTGTTTGAGCAAACAAACTGGGCTGAGGAAGTTTTCGGTTGTCCTGGAGCTGAGTGGCATTGTTCTTGCAGCCGAGCTGCCTAGGTACTAGATCCTATGCCCAGGCTCACAACGGTGGCGCCCATGTTCTTAAAATGACGTTTTTTTGAGGTTTTGACAAAGATCTCGGCATTGAGATGCTTGAATCGGTGCAAGGCGTCCGACTTGATGCCAAGAAACCTACTAGTCTTGGTGCCCAAGGCACCAGTTTTGTAATTTTTCCGATTTTCATCCCACAGGTTGAAAGGAATCGAAGTTGAGGCCCTAGAAACTCAACTCGCATCTGGCTCAATTTTGTGTGATTTAGGTTGTTTGAAATTGCCAATTTTGGAGAGAGGAAATTGAGTTGTTGTAATAGGGACAAAAAGAAGTATTTTGAAGAGACTTTTTGAGCTGGAGTGAGGATCTTTCATTAGAGATTGCAGAAAATTAGAGGAGATGAGCAAGGATAATTGCGATAGAGCATAGCAAGAGCATGATACAAGCTCTTGATGCCCTCTCTTTAGATGTTATTGCTTCAAAACATCTTTTTTATCTTATTTATCTTTTTTTATTTTTTTATTGGGATATTTACATACATGGCACCCGATTCTTATGTATTCACATATCAAACACCTAGACTTTGATTTTTACATATAGCCACCCCCGCCTTAGGGATGAATCAATACTCTATTTTGATTGTTTGAATTATGTTAAAATCAACATTATTTTTGGTATTTGGTGAATTTTTATCTCTAGGGAACTATGTATTTTTTTTTTACTTTTTACTATCTTTATTGCCGTGCATTCTTTTCTATTCGTTTGGCAATATAACATTGGCCTCCCTATAGACTTCAACCTAGAACACTTCATTTTAAATGTTTGAATATCTTAGACATGTAAAAATTTGTCAACATTCATGTTTGATCAAAATAAATTTTTAGTTGCTTGTCGGGCATCATAAATTTGCTCTTATAGAGCGTTTAAGACTTTCTTGATTGAAGATGATAACAAAGAAAAAAAAAAAAATCTTTTTTAGTAATTTATTAAATTTTTATGAAGAAGTGTATAAATCAAATAATGTTCCAAAATCTATTGAAACTACGGGTGTAAATGAGTCGAACACGAGTTAGCCTAGGCTCAGCTCGTGTTCGACTCGTTTATATTTTGAGTTAAAAGATGTGTCCGTGTTCGGCTTGTTTGCTTAAGAAGCCGAACACGAGCCGTTCACGAAGAAAGAGTCATTTTGACAACCCTAATTAGATAGTCATAAGATGGCAAGGATTGGGGTAAGATTTAAAAATTGTTGTTTATATTATAACATCATTTGAATCTAATTTATCAATTTTTATTCTATTTTCTTAATTAATATGTATAATTGATTATAAATCTTTATAGCATTGTAGTCAATTAATCGAATAATATATAATTGATTAGTAGTATTTCGAGTTAAAACTAGCCGAACACGAACGAATAAATTTTTGTTCGTGTTGTTTGTGTTCGACTCTTTAACTTAGTGAACGAGCCGAACACGAGCTTCTTAGAGAGCTGAACATGAGTTGTTCACGAACACGAGTTGTTTTGACAGCCCTAATTGAAACAGCGCTTCAAGTGATTTTTAAATACCGATGTAGCATCATGTGTTTTTAAAAATTTTAAATCCGCAATATAATTCATTTCAGGCCATTATCAGTCATGATGGTTAGGAGATTGCTATTAATGGTTGAACAGAATTTGTTCCTTGCTGTGCTGTCACAAAGCATTAATGATTTGCTGAATAAATTGACTATAACTTGCAAATGTTAGCCAATTAGATATTTTAAGTTTCTTGTTTATTTGCAGTTTGTTGGGGTTATACTACATTATTGCTCCATTGAATGGCTTATCAGCCAAAATGTATTTTTTGATCTTGATTATAAGATGCCAAAATTAACAAATAAAAATAAAAAATTAGAACTTGCGAGATATTGTAATGGAGAGAAACCAGAGGACGAACATCTGGTCCCTCCAAGACTGTTCGAAATTAGGGGTCTTCTTTCTGTCTTTTGATTCAGTTGGTGGATCTTCTTCTCCGCTATGGTATTTTGAATCTCTCCATTCTAGGTTTTGGATGGCTTCTCCGATTCGTAATACCTTTTTATCGTATAAGGACGCGGTTACAGTTTGTAACCCACCTTCGATAGATGTTCTTTTTCCTTCTTCTTTTAAAGATCAGTTGGTGGAAAGTGATGCAGATGGACTATTGAAGAAAGCCTCTAAGAAAAACGGTAAACCGACGCTATTTCTTCAGGAGAATGATACTAAGATGTTGATAGATCCAATGAAATTTACTTTGATTGGTAAGTTTACTTTTGCTCATCCTCGATTTGAGGCTATAAGGAAATATTTTGCAGAATGTGGTTTATCAGGTCTTTGATAAGTTGGACTTATTGATGGGAGAAATGTCATGATTAAGTTACAAAAGGAGGAGGATTATACTGCTATATTTTCTAAGAAAGTTATCATTTTCCAAGAAATTTATCTTTATAGAAAAATGTCACATGAAGATTCTTAAATGGACTTTTGATTTTAATCCGATGGAAGAGCCTCAAATTGTGCTGGTTTGGATAAGATTTCCTGGTTTAAAATTGCATTTATTCAATCAGCAAATATTATTCTCTTTAGGTTCAATATATGGCAAACCTTTAAAGCTGGATATGGCTACTCTTCATTGTACAAGACCATCTGTGGCTAGGGTTCTAGTCGAAAGGGATATTACTACTTACTTTCATGAATCAGTTTGGATTGGGAGTGAAGTGGATGGATATTGGCAACCTGTAGAAATGGAGTTTATGCCTAGTTATTGTACTCATTGCAAAATGTTCGGTCATTTTTTCACTCATTGCTTTAATGCTCATCCTGAATTACTTGGTAATAAAGAATTAAAGAAATCCAGAATGGAGAATATGAGTCATATGGACGTCTCTCGAAATCAAGAAATTCAGATTGTCAATATAGAAAATTTAGAGCCTAATCAACCTACTACAATCATTAATGTGGGTATGAATCTTGATCCTGAAACTAACAATGATAACATTGCTATTCCAATGATTCACAAGATTATCTCTAACACGGATAATCTTGAGGGGAATCATGATGATGAAAGACATTTAACAAATGATGTAGGAGTTTCCATGAATGTTGAGAAATCTATTATGGAAACATAAACAATTTTTTTGAATGAACAAGTTTTTGTACCGATGGGTCCTATGGTGGATGATAGTCTAGTTCTTACTAGATCAGAATTGGAGGAAGGCTGGATGATTCAACGCTCTTTTAGAAAGCGTAAACTCAAAGGAAATAGATAACTTAGTTATATTAATCCAGAAGCTCTTATCATTTACTCAAATAATAAAGATGATCCTAATAATGGAGCCTTGTCAATGAGGCTAACTAGAGGTATGGTGATAAATGATGAAGATTAACACACTTATATGGAATATTAGAGGAATAACTAAGACTATTGCCTCTGATAGATTGAAGCATTTGATTCAAACTTATAAATTAATTTTTTTTGGTATTATGGAACCTATGGTTAGTTCTTGTAATAATGATAAATATGTAAGGAAGATTGGCTTCTTCAATTATATTGCTAATATTAATAACAAAATTTTGTTCTTATAAAAGGATTTTGTGAAGGTGGAAGTTCTCATTAATGACTCTTTAATGCTACATTTGAAGGTTAATATTCATGAGGATTCTTTTCTTCTTTCTATTGTTTATGTGGGTTGCTCCAAGCAATCTAGATTGGAGCTTTTGTCCTTAATTAAATCTGTTGATGCTAAGAATGATTCTTGGCTTATGGGAGGTGACTTCAATATTATTTCTTCCGCTTTGGAAAATAAAAGAGGTGTTCAGCCTAACCTTAGTCGTATTGCTGATTTTAATGACACTCTTATGGAGGTTGGG